AGAGGAGCAAGACCATGGTATATACACCGAGAGGAGCAAGGGCATGGTATATTCACCGAGAGGAGCAAGAGCATGGTATATACACCGAGAGGGGCAAGAACATGGTATATACACCGAGAGGAGCAAGAGCATTGTATATACACCGATAGGAGCAAGAGCATGGTATATACACCGAGAGGAGCAAGGGCATGGTATATACACCGATAGGAGCAAGAGCATGGTATATACACCGAGAGGAGCAAGGGCATGGTATATACACCGAGAGGAGCAAGAGCATGGTATATACACCGAGAGGAGCACGAGCATTGTATATACACCGATAGGAGCAAGAGCATGGTATATACACCGAGAGGAGCAAGGGCATGGTATATACACCGAGAGGAGCAGGAGCATGGTATATACACCGAGAGGAGCAAGAGCATGGTATATACACCGAGAGGAGCAAGAGCATGGTATATACACCGAGAGGAGCAAGAGCATGGTATATACACCGAGAGGAGCAAGAGCATGGTATATACACTGAGAGGAGCAAGAGCATGGTATATACACCGAGAGGAGCAGGAGCATGGTATATACACCGAGAGGGGCAAGAACATGGTATATACACCGAGAGGAGCAAGAGCATGGTATATACACCGATAGGAGCAAGAGCATGGTATATACACTGAGAGGAGCAAGGGCATGGTATATACACCGAGAGGGGCTAGAGCATGGTATATACACCGAGACGAGCAAGAGCATGGTATATACACCGAGAGGGGCAAGAACATGGTACATACACCGAGAGGAGCAAGAGCATGGTATATACACCGAGAGGAGCAAGAACATGGTATATACACCGATAGGAGCAGGAGCATGGTATATACACCGAGAGGAGCAAGGGCATGGTATATACACCGAAAGGAGCAAGAGTATGGTATATACACCGAGAGGAGCAAGAGCATGGTATATACACCGATAGGAGCAAGAGCATGGTATATACACCGAGAGGAGCAAGAGCATGGTATATACACCGATAGGAGCAAAAGCATGGTATATACACCGAGAGGAGCAAGAGCATGGTATATACACCGAGAGGAGCAAGAGCATGGTATATACACCGAGAGGAGCAAGAGCATGGTATATACACCGAGAGGAGCAAGAGCATGGTATATACACCGAGATGGGCAAGAGCATGGTATATACACCGAGAGGAGCAAGAGCATGGTATATACACCGAGAGGAGCAAGAGCATGGTATATACACCGAGAGGAGCAAGAGCATGGTATATACACCGAGAGGAGCAAGAGCATGGTATATACACCGAGAGGAGCAAGAGCATGGTATATACACCGAGAGGAGCAAGAGCATGGTATATTCACCGAGAGGAGCAAGAGCATGGTATATACACCGAGAGGAGCAAGAGCATGGTATATACACCGAGAGGAGCAAGAGCATGGTATATACACCGAGAGGAGCAAGAGCATGGTATATACACCGAGAGGAGCAATAGCATGGTATATATGCTGGTAATTTACTTGAATCTCTATTTTAGGTATTCAAGTTCTTGTCTGGTAAAGAGGTTACTGTGTAGTCTTAATAACCCTGGTGTAGACGATAGGATTCAAACCCCAGTCACCACCCAGCTAATGTTTCCTTATTCTTAACAGACACCTGAGTAACCAGAGTCTGAACCTGACGACGAATGAAGAAACGGAAGAAAACTTAGAAGAAATGAAGGAGAATGAGAGCGGAAGTAAGAAGCAAGAAGAGAAGAACTTGGATGAGGAATTTGATAGTGAGGCAGGAAGGGAGAATGGGGAAGAGGCAGAGAGCGATGAGAAGAGGAAGAAAGAGAGGAGGTGGAAGAGAACCAAGAGGGACTACGCATCAGCTAGTTACCACGGCAAGACTGGTGGTGACTGCTGGGAGGCCTTCCCTGAGTGTCCAGTCTCTCTGCACCAGTTAATGCTTAGAACATGACCATTCCCCTACCATCACCAACCATTCCCCTACCATCACCAACCATTCCCCTACCATCACCAACCATTCCCCTACCATCACTAACCACTTTCCCACAATCTCCAACCATTTCCTTACTGTCACAAACCCTGAAGATAAAATACACAGAGATTTCTATAAATGTATATACGTATATATATATATATATATATATATATATATATATATATATATATATATATATATATATATATATATATATATTACTGTGAGAGTTGTATATCTCTCATCGTATGTACTCCGAGAGTTGTATATATCCCAGTGAATATACTTTCAAAGCTGTATATCTCTCCTCCCTCAAGGAAGGCTCCTTGAAGCTGATGAGGAGCTCTTGATCTAGGGAACTGGATCTGTGCTCCAGTTCCCTGAATTAAGCCTGAATACCTTCCATCCCCCCCACATGCGCTGAATAATCCTACGGGCTTAGCGCTCCCCGATGACTATACTAATTACAACATGCATCTGTCAGCGTACATACTCCAGGTTTTTAATGGTTATTTTAGAGATTAAATCACTTCACTGGTGGTAAACCGGTGACATTAATAGGTAAATAACAGGTTTTAAACCATACTAAACAACCTAACTAACCCAACGTAACAAGCTTGTATCAACCTAGAAATGTATATCAATGTATATACACCGAGAGGTGCATATCAATGTATATACACCAAAAGATGGGTATGCCTCACTGTGTATAGAGACGTGACCATCGTAGGAGTATACACAAACACTGACATATAGGTATTGGTGTATTTTGTAACATCGATCTCTGTAAGATAACTAGAAAATGCCTCTTCTGATCGGTTTTAAACTGTCAGAGCTGATGTTTCGTGTTTACCGGAAGATGCGAACTGGGTTTGTGCTGTGTACTTGTAAATTTCGAAATTTACATTGAAGAAATCGGGATAAGTTGCGACAGTCTCCTCTGTTTGGGTCTTGAATGTTCTGCGCTGACGTTGTTCTGCGCTGACGTTCTGCGCTGACGTTGTTCTGCGCTGACGTTGTTCTGCTCTGGAGACTGATGCCGCAGAGGGTAAACTAATTTCTTTGCATTTATTTTCATTAAATAGTATTTGTTTTCAATTGTTTTTGGGTTGTTACAAGTACCTGAGTAATGGTTCGTTGTTACAGGTACCTGAGTAATGGTTCGTTGTTACAGGTACCTGAGTAATGGTTCGTTGTTACAGGTACCTGAGTAATGGTTCGTTGTTACAGGTACCTGAGTAATGGTGCGTTGTTACAGGTACCTGAGTAATGGTTCGTTGTTACAGGTACCTGAGTAATGGTGCGTTGTTACAGGTACCTGAGTAATGGTTCGTTGTAACAGGTACCTGAGTAATGGTTCGTTGTTACAGGTACCTGAGTAATGGTTCGTTGTTACAGGTACCTGAGTAATGGTTCGTTGTTACAGGTACCTGAGTAATGGTTCGTTGTTACAGGTACCTGAGTAATGGTTGGTTGTAACAGTACCTGAGTAACCACTTCGCTTGCACTGAGGTAGAGGAGGCTGGGCTTGTGGGACACGGGGATAATACTGACGGATCCCGGGGCGACCCCAGACACATCTAATAATGTATAAATGGGTTCGTCTCTTATTTTTCTATCATACTCACATGTATACATATGTGCACAAATGCATTAACGAATATATATGCATACGTATCGGGGCTAGGAGCTGTGACTCGACCCCTGCAACCACAAGTTGCATGCACACAGGTATACATACAAGTATACTAATAATCAAAAGATTGTGAAATTGTGTCTGAATAAATACGTATACACATGAATACACATGTATATGCATACATATGCACCTAAGATACGTCCCTGGATCAAGAGCACCACACTTGCTTCCAGGCTTCTCCTGGCAGAGATTATTATATAAATCGGAAGAAGCAGTAAATCTGTAGGGGTCCCTATAGTGTCTGGGGAATAAGTGGCAGTCGTGTTCGATCCAAGGAGGGGGAAGACACGTCCAGTTCCTTGCATCAAGAGCCTTATACTAGTATCATAGAACCTCTGGAGGGTTGAAGTGTGTGTGTGTGTGTGTGTGTGTGTGTGTGTGTGTGTGTGTGCGTGCGTATGCGCGTTTTTATGTAAGTTGTGTTTAGTTACCATTTTCTTTAGAACACCGTAACATTCAGGTACCTACATACTGCTAGGTGAACAGAGGCTAGGTTCCAGCAGGGTCGAACTGAGGTGTGGACAGTGTAGACATTAGACCTCGGGGCTCCACTAACTAGGGGCCTCCACCACTAAAATTAACAGTTATTAACAGTTATGAAATAAGCGTGCAGTGGTGCTGAAATGTACAGTGATGATTCTGATTTTGTAGTATTTAAATCATCAACACCACTATTACGTTGACCAGCGTTCCCTTACCTTGTTGCAAGTGTATCCCTAGTATCAGTTGATCATCATGATCTGAGGTTTGTGCAGCGCTAACATAACGCTCTCATTATATACGAGATTCACTGTGAAATTAGGACACTTGTGCAACATCTCCACGACTACGGTGCTCTTCGCACCTACTCCAAGGTTGAGGGACTGATTACCTCATCTTCTGTATATAGTCCTACTGTCTTCAAGTTATGTCCTGGAATTTGTATTGATAAAGCCACTGGAGGGCGAAACGTCTACAATAAAGATACCCAGATGCTGCACATGTGTCTTAATTTCATCTTGTCGGTATTATATACAATTCTTGTACACGAGATTCACTGTCTATAATCACTGATATACCAAACGAGATGTCCAAGATACACTGTGAAGCAAAATACTCACTTAAATCAAGACTTGACCCAGATTCACAGCGTGATGCTTTGGGTTCGGGTGAACGGATCTAATCAAAAATTAAAAGATTCTCAGATAGACCTGAGCACTTTAGTAGCTACTATGAAGTCAGTGGAGAACAAACGCAATCGTTTTGACGAATATGACAGAGAGGAACTAAGCAATCCGGCACTCAACAATGTGCTTAAATTTCCGACCGTCGAGGAGAAACAAGTATCTGGCTACGTTCACTAACTCACTCCCCGACACCCGACACAGAACTCACTCCTTCAGTAAGACTTCGTGCTACTACTACAAGTATATGATACAACTTATGCAGACCATAGCTGACACCAGTGACATACTATATGGTTATGCAGAGCATTTCGAGCAAATTAGGTTAATTTTGTCCCCTGGATGCTACCCACACAAGCAGTCTAACACCCAGATACCTATTTGCTGGTAAGTGACCAGGGACAGCAGGTGTCTTAAGGAAATACACCTAATGTTTCTACCCGTACCGGAGATCGAACCATGGACCTCAGTGTGTGAGGTGAGTAAGCTACCAACCAAGCTACAGTGCACCATAAATTACTTGTCAGTCAGAAGAACAAAAAGTCACAATACCGTGACTTATTCCACTTCTACTACTACTGCTACTCCATTCCTGCTACTACCACCATTATTGCTTCGCTTCACTCCCCTCTGTCTCTTGTGGCACTACCATCACTCCCCCTACTTACTACTACCACTTCCACTATCAGCATTACCTCCACCACTAGTTCTCTACTTCCGTCTTTCTTCCTCTCTCTGTCCCGTCCCTGTCCCCCTCTCCTATATATATACACTGGCTCCCTCACCCTCGAGTGTTAGTGTGACTTATAAATGGTCTAAGTCGGACCTCAACCTTGTCATAAGCTTCCCTCTTCAATGTGCGGGATAGTTGTGTACTAACCAATCACTGACCAAGGTTGCCTCTCTGCAGGAACCAGAATCTGCTTATGAGCAGATGTGTTCCCAACTCAGCTTCTTGTGTTATTTAACGGTGCTGTATAATCCTACGGGTTTAGCGCTTCCCCCTTGATTATAATAATAATAATAATAACAATTCTGTTATTTAGAAACACTGACTTGTCAAGGAATACAAATCGCAGATACAACTCTTGTAGACATTTGCACTATGTTGATACATGTTTGGGAGTAAAATCAACTCATTCTGTAGATTTTGCAAGAATGTTTAACGTCGAAGAGAAGCATTGTGCAAAACTGTAAATAAAGACACATGTACAACATCTGGATGTTTTTACTGACCGCACATTATTCCTGCACCGCAGGTGTTAGATCAAAGCTATGTCGGAGCACCAGGCAAGGCTAAGACACTGCACATCTTCAATTTAATTACCTCTCCACTTCTAAATTTGTCTCCAGTGTAAAAGTTTCCTCTGTATTTGATTGAAGAAGAGTGTAGTGCAGGCAAAAGTGCGCAGGTCAGGCGACAGCTCTCGTCTCCAATACTTCCCATGTGTCTTATTCGTCAACTTGTCGGTACAGAAGTTTTCCTGTATAATCTAATTACCCGAGAAGTTCCGTCAAAGTTATTTGAAAAAATATAGTAAAACCTCCGTGGAAACATCTGGTGTTGATGGTCAGTAATCGCAGTGAATACGAAGCACATGAGAAAGAAACTGGAGCGAATATGATGCACGAACGACTCACCTTCTTATCGGAAATCAGTTGGAAGCGCCATATTTTTCCGTCAGTTTGATCGCCAGCAACTCATTAGCAACTTTGCTAATAGTGCGAGACAAGTGTTGTGGTCTTTACGAACCAACTTGAAGTGTTTCTCCATTAACATCTTTCATTTTAATTGATGTTCTGTTGATGACTGATGTGATTTTTACGTCTGATATAAATGAGTTAGTTTATACTTGCATAGTTCTATGCAGCTACATAAATTTAAAATTTAATACCAACAAATGTCCCCATTATGTCAACACAAGTAGGCTAGGAGAGGGATGAATGGTTTTGAAAACCGACGAGTTGAAGAATTGAGACACTTATGTAACATTTGGGAATCTTTGTTGAAGAAAACGTTTCGCCACACAGTGAGGACTGATTACCTCAAACTCCTCCTCTCCTTACCCATTTCTACTTTATATTGGACTGATGTAGCCACTGTGTGGCGAAACGTTTCTTCAATAAAGATTAAAGATTCCCAGATGTTGCATAAGTGTCTCAATTCTTCGACTCGTCGGTTTTCAAAACCATTC